TTCGAAATATGAGATTATTTAATCCTCACAACTTTCCTTTTACAAATAAGGAAGCTTGAGCAAGAGAAGCTAAATTGAACAGTTAGGGCTCAATAAACAGAAATCGAGAACACAAACCCAGTGATTCTCCTTCAGACCCATTGTTCTCTTCAACCAGGAAAAGAAGCAAGCATAGCTCTGGGGTTTTGCGGAGGAAGGAGACTGTAAATTGAAAAGAATCTTATTTTTCCCTCCGGGAAAGTTGTCAGAGCTCCTGGGGGGGCAGATCCAGGCCCTCCTCTACCGCTAGGTGGCGCACCTCAGGTTCTGAGAGCCCACCTGTGGGCAAAGTCCCTGGGCATGACCAACTCACCACGCTGGACTCAAGATGTTAACAGTCACTTCCGTTTCTATTTTCTTTTCTTTCTTTTTTTTTCTAAGACAGATGGTATCCTGTGTAAGCTATTTCTAGTCTTCGGCTCTGGGGATCCTTTCCCGTGTAGGAGGTAATCACCAAGAAGAAAGCCGGCTATCAGAGAATTGTTCAGCGGCACACTTTTAGCTCTGACTTGGCTGTTCTGCGAGGTAGGGAGGTCCTGCTCTTTTCACTCGGCATTTCAGAGTGCATTAGGAACAATTAATGTTTGTGAGGGCATAGCTGGTGTCAGCCTATCTTTAGACAAAATGCCTCCCTCTCAACTTTCAAGCGACAAGACAGCTCGGCTAAACCTTCTCCCTATTTTCTTCTTAAAAGTGTCACTTTAGGGTGTTTTGCGGTTTATAGATTAGCATTTTGATTATAACCTTCTATGAGTTGAGAGGTCTCAAACTGGTAGAACCACTTGGCCATATCTTATCCACAAATAGACTTTGTGTTGGTCTCTTGGAGTGTTGAATGTAAACACTAGTTTCCAACGAGCAAAGTTAGGAGGAACTCAAAGAAAATGCTAGATTTCCTAATTCTCTTGGAAAGTAGGAAAATCGGGCACAAGGTACCTTTCTCCCTAACTGCAGTGGCCGAAGGAAGCTGTGGGCCTGTCAGCCTGTGTGCTCGGTACATCAGGTCTCCATTTCCTGTTGCTGTGCCTCGGCCTGACTTCTGCAGGCTTCTGGTTTAACTCTGCTGGATAAGCTTGAAGAGTCTTCCAAAAAGTCCCAAATATCCACTGATTCCAGGCCAACCAGAAGTGGCTTCAACGTTCAAGCGCAAAATGTCTTGAAGCAAGAGGCTCATGTTCAGCAGGGGGTACCAAACAAATTTGCTGGCCAGGGTCTTCCATGCCTGATGTCTCTGCATCTCCATCCCTTGGGGCTTTTCTGAGTTCCATTCTCTGCCAGCTGATGATCTCCGGAAGGGGCCACCATCACATTTACTCCATTTAGTCAATCCTATGTCTGGAGAGCAGAGGCATTCTTTTAACTGAACTCTTCTCCCCCTAAGCAACAGCGCAGTTCTTTGCCTATTGTAGTCCAGCCATAAATGTGGAAATTACAAGGAACGTTATGCTGAGAATCAACCATAACATATTTGCAGTGGTGATAGAAGCCAAAGGGTGCTAGGCATCCGGGTGGTAGGAGGAGGAAGGGAGGTTGAGAAAGAAAGAACTAAGCATCGAGAAGGAAATGCTGAGTGCAGGGGTTCAAGGCTCGGGGCCTAGGCAGAGGTCCTGAGAGGTGCGGTGTGGAGAAGGAGTTGTGCGGTTTGGTGTAGGCAGAGAGCTGCCACGCAGGCTGACGTGGATCTGGTAGAAGACTCCCTTATCCTCTCCTTGTCTCCGCCACATTCAGTTCTTCAGTTTCAGGCTTCCAGCCTCCGTCCACTTCCTACACCTGCACCGCCACATCCCAGGTCACCTTCCGGTCTACCGCTGTGAGAGCCACCTCTGCAAGCCCCTCCTCCACCCCCTTTCCAGCCACCTCCTCCCCAGCTGTCAGCGCAGTCCCGGCTGCTCCTCATTCTGCCAGGGCCTACAGGATCGGACCTGTGTGACCTCTCGGCTGGCGTCCCTCCTCATCCTTCTTCTCTTTCACACCCTTTCAGACATCAACACCACTTTTATTTTCAGATCAAGGGGCTTCGCACTTGTTCCCTAAGCTTGGGGATGCCCTTCCTGCAGGAATCCCCAAGGCCTCTCCCCTCCTTCTCAGTGGTTCTCTGGTCCTCAACACCTGCCTAGGACAGAATCCTGTTCCCTGCACCCAAAGACACGCGATTCCCTTACCCCACTTTTCTTGAGGACGCCTGTCACTTTATGGCCTACATTTGTTTCTTTGTCTATTTCCCAGTAGAAACAAATGAGAGCAGAGACTTTTCTTCATACCCAGTAGATGTTCAGTAAGCAAAAGTATGACACACAAGAACAGAGTGATGCCAGAGTCAGTGTCTTCTTGGGGAAAAGAGTTAATACTTTACATGCAAGAGGAGCCTTTAATATGATACTTTAAACCTGTGAGATAGATGCAATTCAGCTAACATGTTTATAGTACAGCTACCCATGCAGACCACATGCCAAGAATTATTTGGGATAAATGATAATTAAAGGCAAGACCCTGCCTTCCAGTATTTTATAGCCAAGGGAGCAAGGAGAGGACAATGAGACTTTCGAGCTGTCTCTGTATCCCCTAGAGCATAATCTTCATTGTTCTCCATACTAAGGGCATTAACTTTTTCTTTAAGTGAATTATCGGTGTATTCTGTCACTAAATTCTTTTGCTGTGGTAGAAGACACTAGGGTGAAAAGCACCACAGACTCAGCCCTCTGTGAGTCTGACCCTTGTGCCATTGTTTCTTTGGATATGTCATCTGGATGCCTCTTGGGTATCTTAAACTCAGTATGCCCAGCCTTCTGCTCGGAATGGTGATCTCAGCTTGTTGGGCTGTAATATTTTTCTCGACCTCATTCCTCACACTCCGCCTGGCATCCTGTGGAGCCCAGCTGCTGACATCAAGGGGACCCATGTATTCCTCTGGCCTTGCTGCTGCCTCTGTGGTCCAGTCACTGTCACATTCTCTGGGTTTTCAGTAGTCCCATGCCACACCCGCCTTGGCAGCCTCTGTGGGACTCCTCTCCCACCTGTCCTCCACACCTAAGACAGAGTGGTCTCATAAAACCACACAGGCGGTGACCATACTCCTCTGCCCAGAACCTTTGGGGCCTCCTGACGGCTCCGGGCTAAAGATCCTTAGCACACCACACAGAGCCCTCTGGCTGATTTCTTCTTTACCCGCTGCGGCTCATCTTTCTTACAGTCTAGCTTGGGCCTCCCTAGAGGTTTCTGGTCCTCTACCCTGGCGGACCCTCCCTCTGGGTGGCGATCCCTCCTCCAGCTGCTTCCGGGGCCCCTTTCACCTATAACACAGCGTTGGGAGCCTCTTGGTGTCATGCCTGCTTCTTTGTTTGTGTCCCCACTGAACTGCCAGCTCCCTGAGGACCCCCGTTCTGCCTTGGTCACCTATGACCACGTCTGCCCACAGGGTGTGTGTGTGGATATACTGAACGAATGACAAAGCTGGATAAGACTTGGTCATAAACTGATGATGACTCACGTTTAGTGAGTGGTTATGATGTTATCTGGCAGTTTTCTGAGGGTTTAATAAATACGAAATAGGCATCTCCCATAATCCCGTTAAGCAGGGGTTAGTTCCCTATGTAACAGAGGAGGAAACTAAAGGCACAGAGAAGGTATAAGTAAACTGACTAAAGTCCACAGCTAGGAAGTGGAGGCGGGATCAGATACCAGGCCATTTCCAGATTCCAGATCCTATCCTAGAGTGAAACACAGCATGAGGTCCCCCATATCTTTCCAGGGACGGGCTTTGTGACCGGCTTTGTGCTGCCCTCTTCACGCCCGTGGGTCCTGACCTGGGCTTCGGGAAGGGGCCTGTGCATCTCGCCAGCCCTGGTTAACTTTCCGAGTACCCAACCTACACGCCGTGCTACCCAGGTCCTAGCGTGGCTAGGCCTCGCGCGAGACCATCCGAGGCAGCCCGGGGGTCTCCAGGAGGGTGG